GGGAGTGGGAGAGGGAGAAGCAGGCTTACCGCTGGGCAGGGAGTTCGATGTGGGGCTGGATCCCAGGATGCTGGGATTATGACCTGAGGCACCCAGGTACCACAGATATTAGATGCTATTAAGGAAGTACTATTTTGATGGATGATGAGGGATGATATTACACTGTTATGCACCTATAATATACTTTAAAACTTTAAAAAAATTCCCAAAATGTTTACAATTACTGCATTATAGATGTGGGTATATATGGGTGATGACCATACCACTTTTTCAACTTTTTTGTATTCTGAAATTTTTCATAATAAAAAGTAAAGTGGAGGGCAACTGGCTGGGTCAGTCAACAGAGCATGTGGCTCTTGATCTCAGGGTTCTGAGTTTGAGCCCCACATTGGGGGTAAAGTTTACATAAAAAAAGAAAAAATTAAATGGGGCACCTGGTTAGCTCAGTCAGTAGAACATGAGACTCTCAATCTCAGGGTCATGAATTCAAGGCCCACATTGTGCATAGAGCCCACTTAAAATGTTTAAAAACTAAGAAATTAAAAAGTAAAATGGAAGGAAATAGAAGCATCACACAAAATATTCAGAAAAAAAACAGTGTAGCAAAAATTAATCCAAGAGCTGTTCCTTTAAAAAAAAATAAAAAACTCAAGGAAAAATGTAACAAAAATAGATAATGGGAAGTAACTAGAAAATCTAGACTATTTTAAGATCTTTGAGGATATTTTACATAACTAAGAAAATAAACATGAAAATCTGGATCAAAGCACAATTTTATTCTCTTTATTAAGGCTTTCTCCAGAAGCAGACATAGTTAATAACCATAGAAGAAGGCAAGAAAGTTACAAAAGATCTCTGAAGTCTTTTGAGCATTTATGGGGGCAAATCAGTGCATTGGAGACTGTTCCAAACATCAGTTAACACTGCCCCTACTGCTCTCTCATTGTTTCAGTTTCTACACAGGGGTCTGTGCTTATTTGATTATTTTATTGCAGCCTTTGTCACTTTACAAAAAGGGTAGAATGCTAATCCTAGTGACAAAAACTATAAACATCTTGAACTATGCAGTTGGAAATCGTAAGATACCAAATTGTGTAAAAGCCTTCATCACAGTAAGACACACAACAAACACAAGCAGTTATTCACCCTCTGGTCACCACTAAATTCTACCCTCTCGTTCTTTCTAGCACCCCAACTGCAGCAATTCTAGAACCCCATCTGTACCCACCCACCATGAGCCTGCCACCTAGTTTATACTATATAATCCATCATTACAACTGCTCCCTTGCATACATTGTCAGTGCCTTCGCTTCTCTCCCTTTGTTATTCTCAACTAGGAAAGCCCCAACTCTAATTATATCCATCTCTGTGCCTATTCCACTGCTGTAGCCACAAAGTCACCAGTGGCTGGAGAAAGAACACAATCATACCAACTGACATTACTTTAAACTCATGTCCACTTATCTTCAGTGGGTTTTTGGTATAGCCTGGAATTCTACCTTTTCTCCATAATGTCTTCGCTCTTTTAATTTCTTATTTCAGATTTTTTAAAAAAGTACTTATGTGTTTATTGAGAGAGAGAGAGAGAGAGTTTGTGTGCACTTGATTTGGGGGAGAGGCAGAGGAAGAGAATCTTTAAGCAGACTCCCCACTGAGCGTGGAGCCTGACATGGGGCTTGATCTTACAACCCATGAGGTCATGACCTGAGCCGAAACCAAGAGTCAGACATTTAACCGACTGAGCCACCCAGGAGCCCCTTGATTTCCTATTTCATACATTCTCTCTTTTTAAATCTCCAAACCTCCTTTCCTAAGCAAAGAAAACACTCCAGCAACCGTCCTCCTCTTTCCTGCATGCTCAGTCTTCCCTTTCCACTGGACACATAAGCAGGTTATACATTCTTTGCCTCAGCTACTGCTTCATTTTTCTGCTCTCATTTAGAGGAAAACTCAAAAAATTGTCTATACTTGCTGTCTCCACTTCCTCTCTTTTCCTTCTGTTGAAAACAACCCACTTAGACTTTCATTCTCAACAGTCCACTGAATCTGAGCTTGTCAACTTCACTGGTGACTTCCTTGTTGCTAAATGCTCAAGTCTTGGTGGTCATCTTAATCATTTCACCATCAGCACCATTCTAACACTGGAGACCCCTTCCTTCTTGAAATACTTCTTTCCTTGACTTCTCAGACAAAATCCTCTTGATTTTCCTATTTCCCTTTTTCTAACATAATGCCCTTTACTATTCCTCCTACTTTTCCTGATCTCTAAGTGCTGGAGTGCCCTTGGGCTGAGTTGTCTTCTCTTTTCCATGTATACTCCCTTTGACGGTGATCTCATTCAATCTTAAGGCTGTAAATATCTTTCTGCTGATTACCGCCAAGTTTTTGTCTATAGCCCTGGAATTCCATACTCATGTATCCATTTGCCATATCTACTTTCCCATTTGGATATCTACTATAAATCTCCAGCTTATACATATCTGAGACCATACTTCTCATTTCCTGCTCCTTCCCTAATCTTCCCTGTCTTGGTAAATGATCCCTCCATCCTTCTGGTTGCTCAGGCCAAACAAACCTTGGAGTCATCCTGAATATTCACTTTCTCTCACGGTCCACATCTGATCCAACAGTAAATCCTGTTGTCTCTACTTTCACAATGTCAGGATTTTTGTTCCTCACCTCTACTGCTACCATCCCAATCTGAACCACCATTATCTCTTTTCTGCATTAATGAAACTGCCTCAGAATTGAGTTAAATTATAGGACATCCAGCTGGTGTTACGAAGGACTGCTTAGTGTGGGGGTAAAATCTCCACACATTTGGTGTCAGAAACCAAGTGCGTAAAAGTAAAGGAGATACACAAGAGAAGTACAATAGGGAAGAACAGGGTTTTTCACAGTGGGAAAGAAGAAAACAGAGTTCTTTCCTAAACAGAAAACTTCCATATCAATCACAGCAAATGAACACCTTGATAGAAACATGAGCAAAAGACAAAAAACATATATTTCATAGAAGAAAAAAATGAAAATTGACATAAAATTATATTTAACCTCTAATCAAAGGATGCAAAGGAAAAAAATGAGCTGTATCTCTTAACCTATTTGAGAGAGAGACAGAAAGTGTGTGCATGAGCAGGGGGAAACGCAAAGGGAAAGGGAAAGAGAGAATCTCCAGCAAAATCCCCACGAGCACACAGCCTAATAAGAGGCTCAATCCCTGACCCTGACCAAAGTCAAGAGTTGGATGCCCAATCAACTGAGTCACCCAAGTGCTCTGGAAAAGATTTTTTAAATGACATCATACAGGGTCACCTGGCTAGCTCAGCTGATAGAGCATGTGACTCTTGATCTCAGGGTTCAGAGTTCAAGCCCCATATTGGGCATGGAGACCACTTTAAAAAAAATTCGGGGGAGCGTGGGTGGCTCAGTCAGTTAAGCATTGGTCTTTGGCTCAGGTCATGATCTCAGGGTCCTGGGATTAAGCCCCACAGGCAGGCAGGCCAGGCTCTCTGCTCAGCAGGAAGTCTGCTTCTCCTTCTCCCTCTGTCTTTCTCCACTGCTCATGATTTTTCTCTCTCTCAAATAAATAAAATCTTAAAAAATAAAATAAATTGGAAAAAAAAAATTAAAAATGTATATTTAAGGGGAGCCTGGCTGGCTCAGTTGGTAGAGCACGTGACTCTTGATTTTGGGATTCTAAGTTCGAACCCTATATTGAATGCAGAGATTACTTAAAAAAATAATAAAAATCTTAAAAATAAAATAAAATGACATCATTCAATGAACAGTCTCATTTTTTAAGGGGTTGTATATTGGCCCTAATCATTTCTGGAGAATAGTTTGGAAATAGATAGCAAAAAATTTTAAATGCATTGTTTTTGATCTAAATTTTTCAATATTTATTCCAAGGATATAATCAGACAATTTTTCAAAAATGTACACATATGGATTCCACTCTGGTACTACTGATAATGTTAAAACATTCAAAATAGCCTAAATTTAACAAATTACTTTAACCTTGTTTAAATTCTGGTGCATTCAAAAAATAAATTCTGATATATTCACACAGTGGGAATTTATGCAGGTGCTAATGACCACTATGAAATGTTCCTTGATATACTGTTAAGTGAAAAAAAAATGCAAGTTTCAAAAATACTCCATATATATTATGATTCCCACCTTAGTTAGAATTCCAAGTGATTTTTTTCTTGATTTTTTATAATTTTATATTGTTCAAATTTTTTATGTACCAGTTATCTTTTAAAAACAGACAAAATAATAAAGGTATTTTCATTTTAAAAAACAGGTGATGGGGCACCTGGGTGGCTCAGTGGGTTAAAGCCTCTGCCTTCAGCTCATGATCTCAGGGTCCTGGGATCGAGCCCCGCATCAGGCTCTATGCTCAGCAGGAACCTGCTTCCCTCTCTCTCTGCCTGCCTCTCTGTCTACTTGTGATCTCTCTCTCTGTCAAATAAATAAATTAAATCTTTAAAATAAAATAAAATAAAGTAAAAAGCAGGTGAGGTGTTAGTAAGTCCAAGCACTGTCTGTTGAGAACCCTGACTCTTCATTTGTGATCTCAGAACAGTCTGGTGAAAATAGTGCAGAGTTCAAACTGTAAGATAGGCTATATTCTTTTTTTTTTTTTTAAGATTTTATTTATTTATTTGTAAGAGAGAGAAAGAGAGAGCACAAGCAGGAGGGTAGCAGGCAGAGGGAGAAGCAGGTTCCCCTCTGAGCAGGGAGCCTGGGTGCGGGACCAGGACCCTGGGATGATGACCTGAGCAGAAGGCAGCCACTTAATCAACTAAGCCACCCAGGCATCCTGATGGCCTATATTCCTGATAAAGTTTATTCCTCTATACAATGGTGGCATTTATTTATGTTGGCTAATTTATTTACTACTGGCTAAGTCCAATAACATAATAAAAAAGAAAAAAATTTTCAAAATTTTTTTCCAAATACAATAAACTCATAAACTAACAAAGTAAAATGATTACCTATCTCCCTTTGGTTTTCTTTTTTGTAGTGTCTTCCCTTTGGGTCTTCTCTCACTTCCTAAACAGGGGCTCCCACCAGGTCCAGTTACCCGTATTGATTCAAGGCCTTTGGAAGATTTTTTAAATGTGAATTCTACTGGTTCTCCTTCTTTTAGGCTTCTAAATCCTTCCATGAATAATTTGCTCTGTAAAGTACAGGGAAGGGAGAGAGAGAAAGAGAAATCATGATTATTAATACTTTATAAGTTTTCTCTATGACTTAAAAATTAATATAGCAAGATAGTCATTACTATCCATTATAAATCATAAAGTCTCTTTAAGCTCAGTAAAAGTTATACCGTTTGGCAATACTTACAAAAATTTTAATGTGCTCATTATTTGACCCAGCAATTCCACTCTGAGCACTCTCCTACAGACATACTCACACACAAAAGTTCAAAAACAGAAGAAGACCTACACCAAAATTCACTACAGTACTATTTCTTAAAAAAAAAATTACAACTACCCTCATGTCCATCAATGGGAAACCGATTACACAAATTACAGCAGAGCTATATTATGTAGTACTATTAAGCCATTAAAAGAAGATCTATATGTCTTGCCATTTAAGACATGGATGGACCTAGAGGGTATTATCCTAAGTGAAATGAGTCAAACAGAGAAAGAAAAAACTATATGATTTCAGTTTATATGGAATCTAAAAAACAAAACAAACAAAACAGAAATGGATCCACAAATACAGAAAACACACTGATGGTTGGGGCAAAATGGATGAAAGGTAGTGGGAGATACACACTTTCAGTTACGGAAAGAATAAATCACATGGTAAAAAGTCATAGGGAATATAGTCAGTAATAGTGTAACAGCACCATATGGTAACTATGGTAGCTACACTTGCGGTGAACACAGCATAATGTATAAACTTGTCCAGTCACTATGCTGTACATCTGAAGCTAATGTAACATTTTGGGTCAACTCTACTTCAATTAAAAAAAAAAAACACATAATTTTTAAAAAGATCTACATGTATTAATGTGAAAAAATAAACATGTAATATCATTGAGTAAAAATATATAGGGAAGGACAGCATATCTACCATAATTCCATCTATGCAAATAAGTTTTTAACAGATAAATGCTTATTTTTATAAAGATAGGGTTTCACACAACAGATAGCAAATCATAAACAGTCATTTTCTTCAGTCTTTTTTTGTTTTTGTTTTTGGAAAATGTGGAAGGTTGTTGGTATACATATTATTATAATTTCAAAGGAAACAGATTTTTTAATTTGAAAGATGGTTGATTTTTGTCGGGAAAAATGTTCCTGATTGCAAAAGTGTGACCTTGGTTACAAATATTAATTGGCTCTTTTGATCTAACTCTTTTCATCAAAGCCAATGTGTGAATTCAAAATATACTAAAAATAATCAAATCGTTAGTTTTATTTCTTAAGATACCTTTGTGTATTTTATGGGTCTAATTTGAAACATCATGTAGTTTTCAAAGACTTTTATGAATTTGGGGGTAAAAGGAAGCAAAACTAAATATGATGGAGCCCTTAGGTCAAGTCCATTTCTTTAAGTAAATAGCTATGCAGCTTCGAATGAGCCATTCCTTCTCTCTTCTGTTTATCCATAAATTTAAGGGATTTGAGTTTCCCCACGTGTGTTCTGTGGCACAATGGTTCTGAGAAAGACTCCATGAAAAAAGGATTTTGTGGTCAAATAAGTTTGTGAAATGGTCTATCTTGCATCTCCACAGTTGAGTCACATTAGCATATTAAAGTCTCTGAAATTCTATACCCCTCCCCTCCACCACCTAAATAAAAATCTTGTTTGACTGTGTTTATTTAACCCAGCAATTTCCTGACCAAACTGATCCCGGAGCCCTTTCTTTATGGCTGCGGTTGACAAGCACACTTAGCGAGATACTGGACCACAAAGTCTTTACTCCTCCCAAGTCCATGACTCTAAAGGCAGCTGAATAACAACATACAACCGAATAATTATATGGAACGAATAAAAACAACACTGCAAAATTTAAGATTAAAGGAGACTATTCACGGTGAAAGTGATATGACACATGAAAACAAGGTTTTTAACCAGTCATCCATGGAAGTCTGCAAATTGGCACCACCTTCTTTGCTGTCAGATGCTATGCAGAAGTCAGGAGGAAAGAATCACAATTGCCTATGCTCTTTAAAATTAAATATATATATATATACATATATATATATATATACATATACATACATAGTTCTTAAAGCTTTACTTAATATTTTCATATCTTATTTTTTCCTCCTAGGCTTTATCCTCACTAATTATAAATAGTCCTTTTGCTTTCCTTTCCCTTCTTACTCCCTACTCAAGAAAGTGCAGATTATCAAATCAGATGAAAGTGGAGCATACATGAGTCAGTTATAGTAATTAAGAAAATGAAGGGAAAACAGTTTTAATTAGAGCTATCGTAGGTTCATATGTTTTTTGCTGTAATAATTCTATCACTTATTTTCTCACAGTTCCTAGTATATGGGTGTTCTTTATTTTCTATTATTATAATTTTTGATAGGTTTCATTAATAAATTGAATTGCTTCTCCAAATTAAAGTTAAAATTCTACCTTATGGACCATTAAGTTCTGGCTTTTCTTCGTGGTATTCCTAAGGAATATTTTTTTAAAATCTATCTCATATTACTCCTTCCCCAAATTAGTACATAAGGCAATTCAGATTCATACTAATTGACAAGAATTATTGACAAGGAACAATAACATCCCTAAGAAATTATAATCCCTTTGCAAGAAACAGATAAGGATTCAGAGATTCTTGTATCTTTGTTACTATATCAAAATTGCTGTCACTTAGGTGGGAAAGATTTGTTGAAAGATAGGGAATTCTCTATTATTTCTTCACAATAAATCAACTTCTCCCCTTGACTCAAAAACTTTTATTAAATGTGCCTCCATTTTTCCAGTCACACTATTTCCGATCCTTAGTTATACCCAAACCATTCATTGAATCTTGTGAATTCTTACTTCACAATGTGTTATCATTGGCCCAAACCATTTTATTGGATTGCCACTGCCCTACTTCAGGCCCTAACTATCTCCTACCCAGATGAGAGTAATGGTTTCCTCATTGGTATTTCAACGTCGAGTCTCCTCCCTACTCCACAGCATCTTCCATATCCACACAGTCTCTCAGAATAAATCTTACCCTACTAGCCTCCTGTCTCAACATTCTACAATATCTCTCCTCGACTGTAGGTTGAGACGATTCATAATCTTATTTTTAGTATGCCTTCCAATTCTTTTCCCATTACTGTAAATCACAATTTCTCCATTAGTAAAGATGGCTGACGTGTACTTCCCTGGAAACACTTTATTTTCTCATCTCCGCACTCCAGCTTATGCTGGTAGAGACGCACACTCCTAGTCAGAACTGTCTGTCAAAATCTTACTCAATATTCCGGACACAGTTCAAATGATCCTTTGTGTAATCATCCTCAACAGCTGCAAGTTGTAAATTCTCTCCTCTTTCATTTAATTGATTCTTCTGTAGAGTTTTCACAATATACTGCTGTATATGAAGATACTTGTGGATGCCTTACTTTTTATTTGTTCTTTTGGCTTTATCTTCTCCTGAAGGCCAGGAATTTTGATATATATCTTAGTATTTCCCAAAGGGCTTATTTAGCAAAATGCCTGCAGATAGATATCATTCAGTATGAACTTAAAAGAAATCCAACTCCCCCTTGAAAAAAAAAAAAAAGGTGAACTGCACTTGAAGGAGTGAAGTGAATTGCTCATGCAAAGTCAAATTTTCCAGCTTCTACTTCTACTACATAAAATAAATTCTCCTATTTTCAATGTCAAGGAGACATTGTGTATGGTACATGTGGGATAAAATACTTACATACTTACAGGATTATAATATTTCATGGTAATAGCATTATTCTCTAACTCCATTCCTTGTTCTTCCTTCTTCTACCCGTATTCTCTAATCATCCTCATTGAGATGCCATACAATCCATCAAATTCTGCCCATGGTGAACAGATTTATGTAGAATTTTCAGAATTCTAGATTTTGAAATACAGATTTATGTTGATTTTTCCTTGACCTACACATAAGACCTTCATAAGGCAAGACTCTGGTGTTTGGGCTTATATCCCAACTGTGCCACTTGTTTGGACAAAACGAAAATTTATTCTCTATAGGAGAGAATCACAGTTATTGAAGGAATGAATGAACAAAGGAAAGAAGGAGCATTTAGAAAAAGTTGCTGACATGAACACTAAGATATCAGGCACTTACAATAAGGACAGGCCAATTTTGAATGTGTTCCTACTAATTCATCTGACACTTTTCATTCATGTTCTTCTTCCTCCGATCAAATAAGGTGACCTTTTCTCCCACTTCCCTTTATTCCAAATTTTTAAATTCACTGCGGCTCAATTTTATTTCAGAAGTAGAAAAATACTGGCTTTCAATTTCCTCGTTATATTCCCTTTCCTCTTCCCAATCATTTTAAAATGACTTGCAGAGAATGGCAGTAATATGGAGACAAACGAGAATGGTCCAAATGCTATACTTTATTTGTCAAGTACCTTTATCCAACCTTCCAGTTAGGAATAGGATCACTTATACTTACCTGGCAGGGGAGATACCATGATCAGGAATAGGATCACTTATTACTCTTGGCACATGCTATTTCTTTCCAACTAGACTGGGAAGGCCCTGAAGTGTTGCTACAGTTTTGTGTTTGGTTATCCTTAGAAGAAAGAGTATATTTTCTTCTCTGGGAAGCTTAAGCTGACTTCTAATTCAAGATGGTCTCATGTTATTCATTAAAAGCCACCAAACTGACAGTAAAATAATAAAAAGAAACAGACTCAGAAGAAGAGAAATAAGAGAGGAGCCATCAGGGTGTCTGGGTGGCTTCGTTGGTTAAGTGCCTGACTCTTGATTTTGGCTCAGGTCACGAATTCAAGTTGTGAGATCAAGCCCTGTGTCAGGCTCCACACTGACCGTGCAGTCTGCTTAGGATTCTCTCTTTCTCTCTCCCTCTGCTCCCACCTTAAAATGAAAAAAAAAAAAAAAAAAAAAAAAAGAGCCTCTCCCACTGCCCCCCTAAAAAAAGAGGGGTGCCATCAACAGAAAGCTAATGCAAGAAATTTCTGAAAGTTAGA